CTTGTTTTGGTGTACCAAAACTTGGGGAATTGGTCTGTAGTTTACCATCCTCCGCCTGGTTACATGTATTTAGCTCCTGTATTGGGTCTTCTAGCTTATGATGCTTCAAACCTGATGGCTAAAAACTTGTCTTTGCTTGATATTCATGCGTCTGGTCAGCCCATATCGATAAACTTTTCGGATATTAAATCATTGCCTGAAGGGCCAGTTCCTAGGTGTGTTGCATTTAATTTAAATGGCACGATCAATTTCAGTGTTTTATCTCCAGACAAGAAATGTACAACATTCCAACTGGGTCATTTCTCGGTTGTAGTTGAGTCAACTGCTCCTACTCCTGCACCAGTATCTCCAATGCCACCAGGACCGGGGGCTGGTCCAGTACCAAGTGGCCATGGAAAGAAGAATAATTCAAAGGTCTGGATTATCGTTGGGTCGGTGCTAGGAGGTTTGGCATTGTTGGTTATGTTAGGACTTCTAGTACCGTGGGTGCACAAGTACAAGAAGACCAAGAAAATGCAGCGTATGGAGAGGGCTGCAGAGGTTGGGGAGTCATTGGAAATGACTAGGGTTGGAAGCACAAAGGCACCAACAGCCACAGTGACGAGGACGCAACCAACCCTCGAGACTGAGTATGTACCTTAATTTGTTCATCCGCATAAGTTTGGCCTCTACTATTCATATTCATGCCCTTGAATATTCTTCTGATTGCACCTGATTTGCTTGGTGTCCAGTACATTGTTTTGTTCTTTTCCTTGGAAGTTGCAGGTGGTGGGTTGAGGAATGTATGGTTATTAGGGTAAATAATAATCTGTATTCTCTCTCAACAACCATCCATAGTTTAATGATTATTTGTTGTGTGCATTTAGGTTGTTACCAGAGTGATTTCTTGATTCTATCTGTTGATGAATTTTGATGTTCAATTTACAAGTAATAAAAAAATTTAATTGGCCCTTTTTATCTTTCTTGGCTGTTCTTGATGATAGCTAGTGTCTTTATTCTTTTTATTCCACTTGTACAGAAATTCCATGTACAGAATTGATCCAGAAATGTCACATAAAATGGATCTCATGTGAATAAAACCC